TTATTTTGTGTTTGCTTTTACTTATTTATTTATTTTTATTTCTTTATGTAGTTATTTTATTTGTTTATTTTTATTTATTTCAAACAAGTGATTAAGTGTTGGTAGGTGTTGACTAAACTCTCCATTCCCTGGTTTTAGGTAGTTTAAATTGAATAAATTGTAAAAGTTTAAAACAACTTTCTATTTTAATTCAACTGCGTTAAAGCCACATTTACAATCCATTACTTTTTTTTGGGGGGGGGGGGGGGCACCAGAAAAAACACATTTGAGTCATTTCATACCTTAATGGTAACCAGTGTAAACTAGGATCCTGAAACACGCCTATTTCAAAAGTTCTGACCCCTAAAGAGAGTTTGTAAAAGCTGATTTGCGGTGCAGCTTTTGTTTTCTTCAGTCACAGATGGCTTTACGTGAAGGTCCATCAGCATGCCAGGCAGTAAAACAAGCCCGCTGGGAGGAGACTGGAAGGGTTTTGTGGTAAATTAAAAGGAGAAAACAAACAATTTGCTATTTCACACTGTCTAAATACTTATTTAAGGTTAGATTCTGCTTTTCTAGCTGCACAAAACTGTTCCCATCATGCCATGCTCCAGCCCACAGCATGCAGCGCTACATTTAGAGGAAGGCGGCCTCTCGGCCTGCACCTACGTTTGGCCGAAACAGTTCATTCAGGAGGGAGTGCTGGGCTCAGGTGAAAGGCTAAATAGGCCAGAGTCATCAAACAAACGAAAAGGGACATGCAGCAGAATAAACTCCTACTTTGATCCAAGCGTGGGATCTGATTGGGGCTCTCTCATGTCCATCTGCCTCGCCGGCATCTCATTGGCTCCGGGGAATCCGACTGGCTTCCTATGAATCGGTGAGGATTTGAAGGTTCTCCGATTAGAGTTAAGGCGAGAAACACACTCAGAGGCAGCATTTAGGATGTCAGAGGGGAAACACCTGATGGTTCAGGCTGTTTGGACGTCTGTGTGTGTGTCGGACATGTGTGAAGTTCAAGTGTCTGTTAGAAGGGTGTACACTCTACGAGTCAGACAAGGCCAAGCACTGATGGGTGTGTCAGAGTCCATGCTCGTGCTGCAGAGGACCTGAGGAGCATCCCACTCGTCTGAGAGACGCGCTCATTCGACAAGGTGTTTTTTTTTTCTTCAGTGAACCAAAACCATCATGCTTCACACACAGAGACAGACAACACATGGATAAAGGACAGACTGTGAGTAGAGAGGAGAGGGGTGGAGCTGAATTTACCTCGGATTCAGCTCAGATCGGTGCACATCTGGATGCAGTAATGAACATTCGGTGTGGATGACACAAAACAATACAGCTGTGATGAAATAAAAATGCCTCCTGTCTGAATGAGTCGACAGTTTTACCACCAAAGACCAGTTTCATCTTTAAACAGGACTTTTTTTCTGTGCCTGTGAGCCCTTCTGCGTGTTAAGTACCGTATTTTTCACCGTATAAGTCGCACCTTTTTGCATAAACTTGCAAGTCCTGCGACTTATACAGCGAAGTGCCTAATATACATTTTGTCCCCATATTTATAACCCAATTTTTGGCTGAGCTCTGATGATTTGGTGTGATGTGATGCGAATGACAATAAAGAATATCTGTATCTGTAGTTCATTCATTCTGACATGAAAAATATTGAACACTACCATTTTCAGTCACTAGAGGGCCCTCAAATAATAAGGCAAGCCAAGTGTCTCATTAATAGGTAAAAGTGGATATTAATGAGTCACTTGACTTGCCATACAAGTCACCTTGGTCTCGCTCTGGAACTCCTGGAGCAAACGTCAAATAAGCTGCATTTTGCCGCACTGCCCAGGTGAAATGCAGCTGATTTGACCATTAAAGTGCATTTTTTAAGGAAAATTTAGACTGAGACACACCTTCACTATAATGTTGAGCAATAATTATAAATAAATAAAATAAAAACAACAATTATTTTAGGTGTTAATCTTGTGAAATTGTTGTTAAAGTCCTGCCATGCACGCTCCCGCAGCCGCTATTTTGGCAGCCAATCGATTTTTGGCACAACACCGGCCCACGTTTCCGGGTGGTCAGCAGTGACACATAATAGATACAACTTATACGGCAAAGCATTTATGGTTTTTTCCACTTTATTAGACATTTTTTGACTGATGTGACTTATAAGCGGTGCAACGTTTACGGTGGAAAATACAGTAAATGCATTAAAGACGTAGCCTCAAGCCTCCTCAACTTCAAATCCTGCTGCTGTCACTGTCTGCATTCACAAGCTGAAAGCGGCATGGCTTGTTTATTTAAAATAAATTATTTAAAATGATTTAGCACCTGCTGAACCTTTGTGCAGCCCTTAGGTGCAGGGAGAAGCTCTCTCTGCAGCCTGTCATGATCTCTGCTCTCTGCCACCTGCGGCTCTCTGCCATGCTCACATTTCTCCTCCGGCTGCAGCTTTGTCAAGGGTTAACCCTTTGCTGTCCAGATGCACTGATCGACTTTTGTCTTCCAACTTAAAATTCAAAGTATGTCACATCGTAAAATCGTCAAATCACAAAAGTGTTAAGTTATTTTTAATTATGTTAGAACTTCTACGTTCAGTTGTTTCAGTGTAACTGATCAAGAAGTACATTTCTGCTCCGTGCTGCATCAGCTGCGTGAAGGGTTAACCCTTTGCTGTCCTGCTGCGCTTCTCTTCTCTACAATTTAAATTTAAATACTGTTTTAAATAAACAATGCATGCTACAGTATTTAAATTTAAATTGTTTGGAGTGAAACTTGAACTTGGACTACTGTATCCCTACTTCACGATTTTTCACTTATTGCGGGGGTGGGGGGTCCCCCCTAAACCCCGTGATAAACGAGGGACTATTGTAATATTTTTGCCTGGGGTTTTAAATTCTAACTAGAAATTCAGACATATTAGTGTACTTTTGTTAATCCAATAGTTGGAATTTTTGATCTTGTATTTGTCCCTGAATGCACCACAAGCAGATTTATGGGAAAAAAACAACAATTATCTTGATTTAAAACTAGCTTATAAAAGTAACATTAGCTTTTATAAACTTCAATCTTTTTTGTTTTCTTTATTTTAGCCTTTGAATTTCTTTTGTTTCAATAATTTGAGCCAGTTTAAAATACGACGTGTGGCAATAAATCACTACATCCGTCAGACGGGAGAAACATTTGAGAAGAGCTAATTTGACGTAAATCTTCTGTGACGTACGCTTTCCCCAAGAGCTGAAAGGTGGGCAACAATGTTTTTGTTTGTGCCTGTTAGCAAAATATCTCCAAAACCACTCAATGATTTTATTGAAACTCTCAGAAAGTAACAATTAGGTGTACGTCTACCACAGCCTTTTTGATGTCATCATGATTCAAGATGGCTGCCACAGCTAATCAGTCTTTGAAAACCCAAACATAGCGATAACTCAGTGTAATTGTGCAGATATTTAGCTGAACTTTGGTGTGGTAGTAGCTTAGAGTCATCCCCAACACATAATCTGAGCACAAACAGGTTGTAGAATACTGCCATTTTCAAGGATGGACCAAAACAATGACAGCTGCTGTTATTCTCAACATAGAAAAAGGTTTTAAACTAAAAGTCTGGCATGAAAGGCAACAGGCGATATGCATCGTCCCTCATGCACTCTTTATTCCTCACCACACTCTTTAAATCCAGTGCAGATAATGAATACCGTATTTTTCGGCCTATAAGTTGTGTTTTGTTTTTTGTGCATAATTTACATGCTCTGTGACTTATTTATGTTTTTTCCCCATATTTATAAACCAATTTTTGGCTGAGATATGACATTTTTCATTCATTCTGACATTGAAAATATTGAACACTACCATTTTCAGCCGCTAGATGGCACTTAAGCAGTATGGCATATCATTGTGTCATGTAATAGGTAAAAAGTGGCCATTAATGACACAATCGGCTTGCCACAGTCTGCTACCGTCGTCTGTCTGGAGCAACCGTCAAATCAGCTTCATTTTGCTGCAACGCCCCGATGAAATGCAGCTAATTTAACCACTGAAGTGCATTTATTAAGTACAAGTTCAACTGAGACACACCTTTACTATAATGTCGAGCAAACAAATAATTGTTTTTAGGTGGTTATCTTGTTAAATTTCAAAGAAATGCGCAGCGAGTCGTCCCTCTGCTTCCGCGAATCGGCTTTTGAAATGCAGCTGATTTGACCATCAAAGTGCATTTATTAAGCAAAAGTTCAACTGAGACACACATTTACTATAATTTAGAGCAAACAAATAATTGTTTGTAAGTGTTAATCTTGTTAAATTCTTGTTAAAGTCCTCCCGTGCACCCTCCTGAGGCCGCCATTTGGCAACCAATTGATTTTTGGCACAACACATAATAGATGCGACTTATATGGCAAAGAGACGTATTTATGCGTTTTTCCACTTTATTAGACATTTTTGGATTGATGCGACTTACTCAGCGGTGCAAGGTGTACGGCGTAAAATACGGTAATACGTTCTAGGACACTGGGGTAGGTATTTACACCACACAGCAAACTGGAATGAAATTCTGTTTTCAGCAGCGTTAGCCCTGCGCGGCGCAGCTTGGACCTGAAGGTATCGGTGGTCTGAGGATCTGAAGCATCAACCTGTTTGCCAGCGAGAACGCCACACATCCTCACTAAGAGACAAACGAGACAAAGACACCTGGACGGGTCACCCTGGCTGATCGATCAGAGGCTCGGTGGCCAGACGGACCGCTCTGAGGGGTTGAGCCCCCGACGCAGGACATTTCCTCTGAACTGTTCGACAAGCCTGTTTAATTGTGAGTGGATCAATCGTGCTGCAGATAGTGGGGGAATGAAACAGAGAGGTCTACTGAGTGTGCATATCGATCGCCTCCCTAATGAGAATACCTGCTACACCCTTGTCTTGCGACGCTGAGTGTGTGTGTGTGTGTTTACGAGCCGGGCGGTAGACAAACAGCTTAAACCAATGTCACAAGCCAGAGCATGGACATCTGCAGATAGATGCATGCAACGCGTGCAAACTGTTCACAGAAGGCAGGTGAACGCTCATGCACGGCGGCGATGTGGACGAAGGAAGCGGTGAGCAAGGCAAAAGGTGGGAGAGTCCAAGAAGTGGGAGAGAGGCAACAACGTACAAGCGTGAGAACGAGGAAACAAAAACTGAAAGACACACAGAGACCACGGTTTCACTTCTGTTGGATTTCTGAGCGACGAGTGTGAAAATTTACAACGAGGAGTGGAAACTGAACGTCCAGCCTCTGGACCGTGCATTCCTTTCCTCTTCTGCTCTTTTTTTCTTTCTTTCTATTAAAAATAAATGGTGTTAAGTTGATGAAGCCCTCACAGAAAAGAGCAACAAATCCTACAATTTAGGAGTGATTCAGCGACTACGTTATGTTTACTTCATTCGTTTATTTATGTTTCTGATGCATAATCATGTCAGAATCTCACAATGCATGTGATTAACAGTTTATTTAACTGATTTATTACAACTTACCGTATTTTTCGGACTATAAGGTACACTTAAAATACTTTAACTTTCTCAAAAATCAACAGTGAGCGTTATGAATTAATTCTGGTTGTGCTTACTGACCTTGAACTGATTTTATGTGGTACAGCGGAACACTGTTGAGAGTTACTGTGAATGAGTTGAATAAAGTTTGACTTATGTTTTGTTTCGCTTAATGCGCCTTTTAATCTGAAAAATACGGTAACTAAAACTGTAAACTTCCCAAATAGTATCATAAAATGGTTGTTCCTAGAACTGATTATTTACAGGTTTATAGCCACATCTAACTAAAAAGTACCACCTGAGCTGTAAATAAGACCTAAAATATAGAGTCGCTGCATGAAATGTCAAACTTAGACAGAATTACACGTCATAATAAAGCCTCATTCTTGTTAAATGTTACAATTTGCCGATTTAGTTGTGGTAATTTAGAGACTTTTATTTTGAAGGGACGATGGTTGGACAAATAGGGATAGTAAATTCTTCTCCTCCCTTTGCAGACAAAGACCTGCTGAGAACATCTGTGAGCTCAGTCTGGGGGTGTGAACTCCAGAAGATTGTAAAACTTATTTATGCCACCTGCGAAGCAGCTTAAAACTCAAGGAGCAAAAGGACTTGTAAAAAACCCTGAAATCCATAACTTGAAATGGGGAAAAAATATGTTTCAGTGATGTGAAGTCAGAAATAACTCAATTTTTACGCTTTGAGACTAAACTTCTGCAGAGGAAAACGACTAATGTGCCACTGAGAGGTATTTTAAATGTGACACTTAGACGAGACCAAAACAACCAAACACAGGAACTGAAAATCGCAAATTTAATTCCTATTTAGAACGCATTTAACCAGCTACCAGTGCTAAGAACGGTTGTGTTAGGTGTTTTTTTTTCTTATTTAGCATACTGCATAAAATATCCAGCAGGATTACAATGGTTTATTCATATAAAGTGATAGTTCATATCTTCTGAAGTTGCGTTCTCTGGAATCGTTTATGAGCAAATATCTTACCTGTTGTAGATCGCTCTTTGAATGACTTCAGATTGGAGAGTTATAGGTTAATTTTGATTTAAACGATGAGCTAACCACAGCCAACCCAATGTTTATGATTTACTCTAATGGAGTACACGTTTCAAACAAAGACAGCAGCTTTTAACCAGTTTTTCAATAATAATTATTTCTCATCTGCAGCGTTTTTTAAGGCCTTTTCTCTCATCAGAAAAGCACTCGTGCATCTCTCCTCTAGTATGTTTGAACATGTTCAAAACATGACAAGCCTGCGAGTCTCTGTGACTCAAGTGAAGAAACTGAAAGCTTGAACTAACCATAACCTCGTTAATCTGGTCAAAATTGAAGATAATTTCTCCAAACTGAGCTCAAAGAGCCATCTACAACAGGTAAGATAATTACTGTTCAGGACCTTTCCACGGGACTCTGCTTCAATACATTTGAGCTCTCCTGCGTTCAAAGTGCAACCAGTCAGTGTCGTCTCAAAACTCACATTTATTACAAACACAGGAACATTTAGCATGCAGGCCGTGCAGTGTTGTGTTTGGAGTTAAACGTGGACTGGATTTGGACTCACTTCCTGGCTCGGTTCTGGACGGTCTGCTGCTGCTGCTGCTGCTGCTGGACCTGCTGGGACGGGGCAGGCCTCTTACGGCTGGGCTCCATCACTGGGGAAGGCAGACCGGGCCGCACCGCCGGGCTCCCTCCGTACGGTGGACCGGGGGGGCCCATGGGAGCTCCCTGGTGGGGCATCCTCGCTCCAGATGGCATGCCAGGACGCTGCAGAGGGTGAGGCAGAAAAAGAGCGCAGGGGGTTATGAGCATAGAAAATATTGTTGTGTGAATGTTTATGAAGCATTCACACTGTTGTGAGCCATTTTTCTTCTGTACGATTTTCAGCATCTTTCTCGTTCCACAGTTTTTGTGCGATTTCAACAAATCATAAAAACGTTCTGCTCGTTCAGGACAATCCTGCTCTGACTTTTGGTATTGGTGCAACTTTAGCTTTATGAAATATTTAGCCTTTTCTGCCACTTATTTTCTCATAGAAAAATGAATTAATGAGTTCATTTTACATTCTTCAAATCTTTAGCTCTGTTTACAACCTTTTACTGCCCCTTTCACGTTTTGTTATGGTTCAGCTTCTTTCAGCTTCCTTGTGCAAATTTTAACTTTTTTCAGCTACTTTCAAGATTTCTGCTGTTTTGTGCTCCTTTCAGATTCTTTCTGCTAACTACAACATTTTTGTGCTTCTTCTAACTTCTTTCAGCTAATTTCAGCTTGTTATGCTCCTTTCAGCTTATTTATGCATTTCAGCTTTTTCTGCTATTTCACCTACTAGTTAGCTGTTTTTAAGTTAATTTTAGCTTTTCCAGCTAATTCCACATTTTTTTCCACTCATTTCAACTTTTTTCAGCCTAATTCAGCAAAAATGTGCTCTCTCCACTTCCGTCTGTTAATTTAAGCTTCTTTGTGCTTTTTAGCTACTTTACAGCCGTTTTTTTGTGTGTGTGCTAATTTCAGCTTTTTCAGATAAATTCCACTTTCTTGTGCTCATTTCTGCTTCTTTCAGCAAACATGCTATTTATGCTTTCTACTGCTTGTTCTACGTTTTCAACTAGTTTTTTTTTTTTAGCATTTTTTAAGCTAATTTCAGCTGTTTTCACATAAATTCAAGTTTTTCGTGGTAACTTCTGCTACTTTCAGCCTCATTAACTTCTTTCTGCTAATTTCAATTTGTTATTCTCCTTTCAGCTTGTTCTGTTATTTTAGCTATTATTTAGCTGTTTTGTGCTAAATTTAGCAATTTAAGCTAATTCCACATTTTTGGAGCTTATTTCAGCTCCTTCTGGTATTTTAAGCTTCTTTCTGCCTTTTCAGCTATTTTTGTTGTTGTTGCTAATTTCAGTTTTTTAAGCTAATTTCCTAATTTTTGTGCTCATTTCTGCTTATTTAAACCCATTTTAGCAAATATGTGTTCTTTCTGCTTTCATCTGCTAACTTAGGCTTGTTCTTCCAGCTAGATTTCAGCATGTTTTTAGCTAATTTCAGCCATTTGTCAGCAAGTTTTTAAGCAATACGCATTCACACTGCATTGTCGCAGGAAATGCAAATTCTCTAGTTTTCTATATTTTCTGGTTTGTAATAACCACCACTTAAAATCAAAGAACCATCAGATCAGCTGCTGCTTGTTTGAATTTCTTTACTGTGAATTCATTATTTTATTTTGAAAATTGCGTTTTATCCTAAATAAATCCACAGATTTGACCTAGAAAATACTAAAAGTCTTGCACATGTAAAAAAATAAATAATTAAAGCTTTGCACAATATTTATATTAATTTAATTGCCTTCAAACGTTTGTCACCATTTGCAAAACATTTTAGCCAAATAATGACAAATTTTCCTGTTGAACACAAAACGTAGAAATGATCAAAACACAAGTGAGCTTCTTTTGTCTGTTTTAAGAAAAACAATAACTTTATGTCAAAAAATCTCACAAACAAAAGCAGCAATCAGGGACGTCTTATTCTTGATCTTGTTCTCCAAACAAAAGTCCTTTTTGACAAACTGGATGTAAACTCACTTCCAAACATCTTCCCAACAAAGCAGACAGTGTCAAAGCCCACAGTCTGTAAGTCACGTCCTGAGGAGGGGAGGGGGGGGGGCGCTCACCTGTTCTCGTCACTCCCATAGAAACAGCTGCCTCCCGCCTTTGTTTATTGTCTCGATCTAACCGCCATTTGTGCAGAAAAAAACCCCATGAATATCCAGATTAGAGACTTAGTTCTGTTTCTGATGGGCTTCACTTGAACACATCGGTCGAGGATAACCAACCCATAATATGCCTTATTTTAAAATAAACCAATACTTTTTATGAACTGATGGATGGAGCTGCACAGAAACTGCAACTCTGTGAAAAATAAAGTAACAAATCTTTCTGCACGCTCACGTTTTTCTAATATTTGCCACGTTTAGAGCAGATTTCTGCACATGCAAACACATCCAAAGCGATCTTTAGACTGTCCACAGACAGGCTGAAAACAAACAAAAACACTCCGAGGGTAAAACAAGATATTCAATTGTAACTAACTGCATCAAATGCATCAAATATTCATGGAAATATTCAGTCACTAAAAACAGATCCTGACAGCATGAAACAAGCTGATCTAATGTGGGCCTTTTGAAAAGTAGATCTCTTGTGATAAGAAGCCTGAGCAGACGTCGCTGTCACTCCGGCTGGGAGTTTGTTTTGTTGAGGGGGGGAGGGGATGTAATATGGGGGGTGGCACAGCAACAGAGTAGGTCTCCAAACAGGAAGGGATAAAACAACATATGGTCTGACCCTCCTCCTCAAGTTCTGTCACCTTGTGGAGTCTTGAAACTCCTTAGTTTACAGTCCACTTCTCTGAATTAAAGAAAACGGGCGTCGGGCTGGACTTTTCTGCAGTCGGCCAGTCGTCTGGAGAGTCTGAGCCCCCCAGGTGTGAGATCCAGAGATCCATAGCTGGATAATGTAAACCCACACTAACACACAATGACCCCTGGTCTATAATCAGACCTGCTGAACTGACTCCAACACTCTGCCCCAAGCTCTGCCAGGCAGCCGGGCAGCAATCTGAGAAGTGTGCTGGCATCTCAGTCAGGTTGGGTGGGGGGGGGGGGGGGCACTTTACAAAGGCCAAACTTAGACCTGGACTCAGAGGGTTTCTGTTGTTATTTAGAAGTGGTAGATTTAATATTATATCAGCGCAGTGGTTACGGATTGATGGATGGATGGATGATGGATGGATGGACAGACAGACAGATGGATGGGCAGATGGATGGATGGGCAAATGGACAGATGGATGGATGGATGGACTAATGCAGGGGTCTCAAACTCACTTACAAAAGGGAGGCAAAATTAAAACCTGTGTCAAACTAAGGGGCAATTTCAGAATCTACATTAACTCAAATCAGATACCCAACATCTTTTCTTAGTCACAGGTTCCTCAACAAGAGTTTGATTGGTCTCACTTGATGTTCTCTGTTGTGCTTTCGACACCATAATAAAAGATTACTGAAAAAATTCAAGCGATAGAAGTATTTTACATTTCACATATCTTGGGGGCCAGATAAGATGTCAGCGAGGGCCACATTTGACCCCTGGGCCTTGAGTTTGACACATATGGACTAATGGATAGATAGATGACGGATAGACGGACTAATGAACGGATGAATGAATGGACAGATGGACTAATGGACAGATGAATGGATGGACGGACGGATGGACAGACAGACTGACAGATGGATGTATGGATGGACAGATAGATGGATGACAGATGGATGGATAAATGGATGGACAGATGGATGGATGGACTGATGGATAGATGGATAAATGAATGGACTAATAGATGGATGATGGTTGGATGGACGGACGGACAGACTAATGGATGGACAGACAGAAGGACTAATGAATGTATGGATGGATGGACTAATGGATGGACAACTAATGATGATTGGATGAACGGACTAATGGATGGATGGATGGACTAATGGATGGATGGACGGACGGACAGATGGACTAATGGATGGACGGACAGACGAATGGATTAATGACTGGATGGCTGAAAAGACGAACGACTAATGGATGGATGGATGGATGGATTGATGGATGGATGGATGGACAGACAGATGGACTAATAGATGGATGGATGGATGGATAGGTGGACAGATTAATGGATGGATAGATGATGGCTGGACGGACGGAAAGACTAATGGATGGATGGATGAACGGACGGACGAACAGATGGACTAATGGATCGACGAATGAATAGATGGATGACTAATGGATGGATGGACGGATGGACCGACAGACTAATGGGTGGATGGACGGATGGACAGACGGACTAATGGATGGACAGACAGATGAACTAATGGATGGCTGGATGAACAGACGGATGGACTAATGGATGGATGGCTGGACAGACAGACGGACTAATGGATGGATGGCTGGACAGAAGAACGGACTAATGGAAGGATGG